ACAATTGGTAAAATTGTTGTGCGTTTTCAACCTCATTATCAGTTGTTAATTTTAAATCTTGACTTTGATTTTGATTACAATGACAATTGATTCCGTTGAAAAGCGTGGAAAACATAAACAAATCAATTACGAATCTCGTTTTGTAATTATCACTCCTCTGACAAATATAATTTTTTGTTTTCTTCAACATGGCGTGTAAGCTAAAAAAATAAAATATGTTGTAAATTAATTCTATTATTATTATTATTATTATTATTACAATGTAATATAAGACAAAAAATATCAGCAATAAAAAAAAAAAAAAAAAAATCGGCGACAAGGTTTATGCGTATGTGCGTTATCAAAAGGATTATCAAGTATGGATTATTATTGCCCATAGCAAACAACATACAGAAAATGTGTGTCAAATTAAATATAAAAAAATAAATTTAATAGAATCAAATAGCGGATTTAATAACGTAATGACAATGCATTCATAAAAAGATAAAAAAAAATTCTTTGATGGAATGAATAAAAAAAAAAAGATGTGGTCAAAACTTTCAAAGTTGGTGATGAACTAATTTTATGTTTTTTTTTTGTATCACGTTTTTACTTTCGAAATATTACTATCACTCTCTTTTCTCTCTCTCTCTCTCTCTCTCTCTCTCTCTCTCTCTCTCTCTACCTATCTATCTATCTATCTATTTACCATTTCGGTTTTATTAACGTTTTTCATTTAAAGTAAAAGGAAAATTATTATTTGAATAATAAATGTAATTTATGTAAAAAAAAAAGAAAAAACTTTTTTTTAAATTTAAATATTCGAAACAACTAATTGTAAAAAAAAAATATATATAATTTCGGTTGGAAAACATGAGTAATAATAATAATAATAATAATTTAAAAATTTACCAAATGATTTGTTTTCTATTACAAAAAAAAAACATAAATGAAAAATCATATAGACATTTTTTAATAAAGTCAAACTACTACTACTCGTTTTTTCTCTAAATAATTATCATTGACAAAACACTTTTCAGGATGAACAACAACAACAGGAACAACAACAAAAACAACAACAACAGCAACAACAACAACAACAACAGCTACAGCTACAGACGAGAATCACATTCGAATTTTTTTGCAAAAAATATTAATTTTAATTGCTAGTTCAAACCATTGTATAAAATGGCAAACAAGATACTAACTGACGCAAAATAATAAAAATATTTTTTAAATTAACTAACGGTATTAAAGTTAATAAAAAAAAAAGTAAAATTAAAACCTAAAAAAATTTTTTTATACCATTTTAACAACAATAATAATAATAATAATAATTTATTTATTTAAAAAACAAAGTTTTACACAGTTTTGTTTTATATAAATTTATTTAATTATTAATTTTTTTTTTTTTTTTGTGATACAAAACAATAAACCGAATCGTAACGGAAATTAAATATTAATTAAATTTTTTTTAAAAAATTATTTTATTCCAAAATATTTTAATTAATAAATTTTGAAAAATTTTTTTCTGGTAATTTTATAAAAATTAAAATGAACTTTAGGAGAGAAAAAAACGTGAACCCACATCGATAATTATATAGAAAACATTTAATTAATTATAAAAGTAGAAAAATTAATAAATATTAATAAATTTCTTCTTTTTTTTTTTTTTTTTTTAAATTTTTTCGAATTAAAAAAACCTTGAAGACGAATACCTTAACAATTATTTTAAAAATAAAGGAGTACAAAGGTATGAACAGACTGATGACTATCATGACACTTTTTTTAATGGATACTGAAGATATCGAAAACCGGATAGTACTCATCATCATCACCATATTTACCGTTCTAAAAGGATTGAACCCAAAAAAAAAAATTTATTACACGAGAGAAAAAGAAAAAAACCTGATAAAAAATAATAATAATTACAAGTGAAAATAAAAAAAAAAAAATTTTAAATGGTCGATAGTCGTGATGGTTATTTTCAATTAATTTTAACCGGAAAATAATAATTTTAAAAAGTTTAAAGGTCAATTATTGAGCTAGATAAATTTATATATATATATAAAAATCTTACCTGATATGTAAAATAAATAAATAAAAAAAAAATCCAAAATTGTTGTTGTTGTTGTTGTTATTTGAATAATTTAATAAACAAAACTAGAAACGAAAAAAAAAAAAAAAATTTTTTTTTTTTAAATAAAATATAAATCGTGCAAAACATAAAAATTATTAAACTATTTTTTATATAAACACGTGTTTTGTTTTTTAAAAAACTAGTTTTTTTGACAAACAAACAAACAAACCCAAACAATAAACCCAAACATTCAAATAATAATAACAATTGTAAAACGGCAACAACCCTCAGGTATATACGTGATAAAATAATTATTTTTCATAACGAAAAACTTTTTTTTTTTTTTTTTTTTTAAATAAAACTTTATCGAATATTTCTTACAGAATAACCATCACCACTCGAAGATTAACACCGGATTTAAAAAAAAAAAAAAATAAAAAATAAAAAAATAAAAGAAAATGTTCAATCATTCGTGACCTCCTTTTTGACAAACTCTTGTATTTGCTTTTCTTTTTTTTTTTTTTTTATGAATATTTTATAAATCGAACTGTTTATAAATAAATAAATAACAAATTTTTTTCATTAAAAACTATCAACTTTCAAATAAAAAAATAATTTTAAAACTAAATAATATATATATAACGGGTAACAGGTACACGGATAAATAAAAAACTGGTCCTGTACAGCATCCCTAACAAAGTTTGTTTACTTTTTTTTTTTTTTTTAAAATGAATTAACTAAAC